CTTGTACTGAAAGCTTTCCTTGCATGGCAGCATCCGCCCACACACCGGCTTCTTCAGCCCAGAGCATTAGGCTGGAGGTTACATTAGACATCTACTTTCCATTAGGGCTAGCCACAAGTGCCAGGATGGGAGGAGGCCACAAAAATCAGAGGAACCAGCTAATGCTCAAGAGAGACCCAGCTGACCCAGGCAACAGAGATAGCGGAACTCATGTGATCTAATCCCCTCCAGCATCCCCACACAGGAGGTCCTGTCGCAATTCTTCCAGACAAATGGGTTTCTCATGAGTCATTTGTCCCAAAAGAATTGCAGGAGCAAACAGACTTGACCAACTTTGAAGATAAAACCCAGAGCGAGGAGTACAGAATCCCATCACAGAGATGAGAGGGACCTTCCTAATGAACCATAGGGATGGCACATCTGGAAAGATTCCCCTCCCTTCACTGTCCTCTCCCTGTGATTCCCTCAGCCCCTTCACTGGAAGACCTGGGCTCCACCCCATTCCAGGAAACTGCTGTCCTGCAGTTCTGGGAGGTTGCTCTGACAGGAGACCTCTATTTTCAGATCATCAGAGAGCAAAATGTTAAGGGAGTTATGAGTTTGAAGATTAATTACCATTTACAGGGCAGAGTTCCTAGCTCTGGATAAATCTCCTGCTGAGAACTCAAAGGACTAGCTCTGGGAACACCAGCTGATGTCCCTGAACCTATAAGGACATGAGGTACTGCATAATTAAAAGGCATCTCCCACAGGACAAGGTATTGGGTTCTCTGGCCAAGAGGCTATCATAACCATCTTGAACTTCAAGGCTCGGGAAGCAACAGAAGGTGGAAAATCACAGTCTTCACCATCAGGGCTGTGAAACTATCAAAGTCCTAGTGTGTGTTAGAACAATCGCCAGCTCACAGACACTCTGCTGCACCCTGGCCCACCCCATGCCCTCAGCGGCAGCTGAAGCACACCACCACACAGAGGGGGTGAAAACCCTCACCCAAAGTACCCATTGTATGTCCTGGGCAGGCAGAGACGTGTAAGTGTTCTCGCGTTCCTCAGCACAACTGGGCCCATTTGGGGAGAGATATACACCCCTGGGCTTCTGGTGCAAAAGGGTGTGTCCCTAGCCAGGTTTCTAAGGAGGTCTCTGGACTGGGGCATACTTGTGACTATGTGCTCTCACAGACTTCTGTCGAAGGCCTGGGCACTGTCCTTCCAGCTGTAACTACACACTTCCTAGAATTCTGACAGACCCTGGATGTGTGAGTAGTAGGGTGAGCCTTCTGGAACCAGTGAAAGGAGGGATATCCTTGTCAGCTTGAAATAGAACCAGACTTTTCCAATCCTTACCCCTGTTCCCAACTGGGACTCCACAGGGCATGGGGGTAGAATAGAGAAGCCAAATGATGCTGAGATGAGTTAACATCTTAGAAGAAAAGGTAGTTTGCTTGCCCATTTGGTTTTTTGTCAGAAAGGCAAAAGACTCAGTGGGATAAGTCAGAGGAGAGTTCCCCATGGAGGCAGATGAAGGATGCTTTGCTTCCTAGCCCTGAGTAGCAAAATGATGGAGGGAAACTAGACAACAGACCATAAGCAGTAAAGAACCAGGACTTGATGGAGTAGTCATAATCCAGTAGTTGGAAGACCACAGTGAGAGACATTCATATGCCTGGAGTATATACCTAAGTGACACTGACATTGTGATGATGAAGAAAACCCTTGGTAAATGACAGAGTAATAACTTCTCTCTACCTGTATGACACATACTGTGACACTGAAAGAGACACAGCCTTGACGTTCATTGAAATCTTTGGATAAATATGTTACAGAAGTCCAAGAAAATAAGAGCATCACAAGCGGAAATGCTCTCTCCTTTAGCATAAAAGGCAAACTGGAGAGGGTTATTGACATCTCAAAATAATTCCTCGCTTCGCTATAGCAGCTCTCTTGGGTGCATATAAATGATGGCTTGCTTGCCATATTGCTTTACCAGGAGCTTCTGCATAAAATAAGATGCTACCTAATTTTTTTTTTTCTGGGAAGTATATAAATGTTCATTACACATAAATACAAGGTTACGCAGTGAGATGGATGTTAAGTATAACCATAATAAGATATGGTCCAGAGATATGCTGCTTCTTGCTAATAGCAGTCCCAAGACTGGATGTGGTCACTGTGGATTCCATTCACAAAGGCAGGCAGGAAATTTAGGATTCTCTTCAAACTCAACTCTTGACTCAGACCCCTGTCAGAAAACCTTTATCCAGCCTCAGACCTCCACATGCATTCTCCCCACCCCTATTATCTACCCACAGACCCATGCACCGTCCCTCCTTCCAACGTGCGTGAAACCCAGAAACACTGACACACTGAAGTCCACTTCCACCTCTGCCTGGGATGGATGCCACAACAGGGAGACTTGCTCTCATGCCCCCCAAGTTTTCCATGCCTATCCCCATTCCCGATGACAATGACGCATGGACAAGCAGGAGAAGTTGCCATACATTCATGCACCATCAGCAAAGACATCAACAACCGTCCCAACAATATCTATTGCTCCTGATCCAGCCATGCAAAGAAGCCCATTCACAGGACCTTGCGGGTAACCTAGGAAGTCCTACCTCTCCTTTCTTTCTCCCATTTCCTGCTAATGGGTCTCTTTGGGGGAATGCTAAGACTAACTGCTTAAGGCAGGATTTTAGACTCAGAGCTACCTAGGCTTCAATCCTGGCTCCACGGTTTTCCAGTGTTGGGTTTAAACGTCAGTGTTCTCCTCCCTAAAATGGCTCTATGATAACTTCTTCATGGGAACAGTATGGATTAAATAAATTCACCTACTCCAAGTGTAGGTGTTCAGCAAAGTTAAGCCGCCATCCCCGACCAACCCCGAGGACGCTAGATGGAAGAAGAAAGGCCCTGAAGATGTCCTGAATGGCCAGGGCAAGTCAGAGACTGAGGGGCTTTCTATAAGATGCTCTCCCAAGTGGAGAGGCCCACAGGCTCACTCACTTTCTGAAAGTCTCCCCATCGTGTCAGTCAGAGGGGAAATCTAACTGTTGAGCAAACAAGGTATGCTTCCCACACCACGGCCACCTGATTCTCCCTTCTCGATTTCTGTCATTCTGAGATTTGTGAGTGTTCCTTGCTTTGGATTCAGAATGTCTAAATCTGACTTGTTTCAGAAAAATTTTATCCAAGTCCTGGGAGCCCTCCTTGGCTAAATTAAATCAACTAAATAAACTAAAATACATTATATTTTTTAAGCAACTCAACTGCTTTGACCTCCCTGTCTAAACTTGTGTGCATGCACACACAGACACACACTCGCACACACAGATAGACACACACATGCACGCAACCATCACTACCACCACTACTACCACCAAACACTTCTTTTTTCCTTCTGTGTTTTTTTCCTAAGGACCTACTATTCTCTTATATACTGTCTATTCTATTTTATTTTCTATTTCCCTTATTAAGGGCAGAGATTTTTGCCTATTTCAATCACACTTGTATCCCGTAGCTCACAATACATGGGTGTCCCAATTTACCAGGGAAGGTAACAGTTTATATCTGTGGTATCGATTTAATTATTAATAGTTTCCTTTTTTCAAACTCAGGGGTGTCCAAGTTTAGACAATCAAATATACAGAGTTAATTAATAATAAGTAGTTGTTAAATTTAATTAATAAATTTGACCAACTTGATACTTTAATTAAACCTGTCAACTCCTCAAACCAAGAGTTTATCCTTAGGTGAGTGAAATACATAGGATGTTTAAAAGCATGAGAAGAGATTGATTAATCTCATATAATGGTCCTGCTTTCAAAATTCTCACAAGGCTGGCAAACATGTTCATTCTGATAAACTCTAATTCTACACAGCTGTTAGTGTTGAAAAATCTTAAACTCTAATGCCATTATTAGTAACAGTGCCAAGAGGAGATACCTATAAAAACGTGATCCTGCTAGAACTTGGGAAGCTATGCCTAATTTACCTCCCTAGCCATATCACAGGAGAAATGAATGAAATTGGAAAAGTATCCCATGCACCTGCCCATAAGACTGCAGCCTCAGGATAATATCACGTATTAGAGACTGGAGGTTTTTCACTTCAAAATGAACTACATCACACCCCATCAATATTTGGAAACAACATCTGGCCTGTGGGAAAACATTTCAAGATGGACGTGTGGGCTCCTGGACTGGGTAAGATTTTTAAGGCTGGATAGGTAAATTGTGTGGTTCTGTTTTCCCCAATGGACCATTCCCCAAACAAAGGGAACAGCCCCTAGGCAAAAAGTGGAAGGAAGCCATCCAGTTCAGTCTGATGATTAAGGCAAGACAGATGGAACTTTGACTGATTCCACGTTATGTCCGTCTCCATGCCTAAAACTACCACAGAAATTAACATGAGAATGGTAAAAACTTTCCCTCTGATCCTCAGAGAGATGACTCAGTCATGGAGCTCTGTAATAACGACCCTAAACATTGAATTTCTTAGACAAGTTTCATCTAAGGTCAATAGGGAGACCTCTGGTTCGGCAGATCCTTGAGCCTATGTGGCATTCTCAGTTCCTTAAAGGGAGTGTAGGCACCCAACATGTACGCAAAACTCAAGGTCACACTTCCTGAAATGCAAGAAAGCAGCCAAACCACCGTCCATGCAGAGCCTCCAGCCTCCACCACACACGCAGGCTTGGACAGAATCCTTGGCAGCCAATTGAACTCTGGCGTTTCTCCCAGATGTGCACCTAATTTTAGCAGACTATGGCCCCTCCCACCCCCACCATGCTTCCTCCCCATGAGACATCCCAAGCACATCGATGGCTTTGGCAGGAAACTTCCATGGAAGTGAAATGATGTCCCTCTGCTGGGAGGCAGGGAAGGAGAAGAGGAAAGCAGCCCTGGCCCATGGAAGTTCCTCTCCAAAGTCTGCAAGCTGTCCGTCTGGGTGTGGACTGCCCTGCCCAGCCCCCTGGCCCCAGAAACAAAATCCAGACTCACTGTGGAAGCTGCCGGCGCTGCTAGCCTCTGGCGCTGCCATGACACGCTGATCGGGCCCTTCTGGCATGGCCCTTCCTGACAGTGAATGGAGGAGAGAGCAGGGTAGGGGAAGAGAGAAGAGAGGATGAAGGCAGAGGAAGAAAGCATGGAAGGATGAAAGAAGGGAGGAGAAGGAATGTGGGTATATCTTTAAGTGAATGGCGAGTCTCTCCTGGCCACAGCCTCCAAATGCCTCTCACACCAGTGGGGGGGAAAGGCTGACAGCATCAGCCCAACTCCACGGTCCTCACTCAGGGGTCCACCCAGAGAGGCAACCCACAGCTCAGCAGGCACACCATCACACCACTCTTAATACATGGTGCCCAGCTGTCTTACTTCTGGTTTTCTACCAAGATCCAAATGGCTTCCCACCAAGGGCTCAGTTCTACTTCCAACAAGATGAGTCTCCCAGCCAACTATCACTCTGAAAGGAAGTGGGTTTTATCCAGAATTTTCACCTCCTTAATTCCAAGACATAGCACTTCTCCAAAGTTTCTGAGGGAATATTGGTTGTTCCTATCTCCAGCAGAAAAATCACTGAATTCACCACTACTTTCAGGGCTTCCTTCCCAAATGCCCATTCCCACCTGTCTGGTTTGGAAAGGAGGTGAGCTAGTTGGATGTCATCTGGGCGGATCCTCAGCCTTCCTCCTTGCTGTCAACAGAATCAGTGTGTATGTTCTCCATTACCACTTGGGAAAAACTCATTCCCCTTGAAAGGCCTCTTGAGAAGTCAGAGAAGTGGGTACGTTAGGTGGTCTTTGAGAAGGGACATTCAGTGACTTGGCAATAGCATTTCTCAAGTGCTTCTTGTTCAAAAGACAAGAGACCTAGCCCTTGATCTCATTCAAGCCAGAGACAGAGAAACATCAGAAGGACGCAACAAAGAAGGATGTTTATGAAGCAACACATCTTGGTGCATAAACCAATAGGGTGATTCTGGGGAGACCATCCAGTAAGCAAGTGAAATGAGACCACTGGGTTTTGATGATGGTGAAGAATAGAGAGAAAGAAGAAAGAGAGAAATGAAAGAATAGGTGGTAAGTCGAGAGAAGAAGATGTTATGGGCTGAACAGTGTCCCCCCGCCCCCAGAATTCATTATGCTTAAGTCCTAGTACCTCAAAGTCAGAAATGTAATTAAGGTAAAACAAGATCATGTAGGTGGGTCCTAATCCAATGTGACAGGTGTCCTCACAAGAATGGAGAATTTGGACATAGACGTTCACAGAAGGTAAAGGATGTAAAGACACGGGGAGAAGACAGCATCTACAAGTCAAGGAGAGAAGCCTGAGAAGATACCAACCATGTGGACACTTTGGTCTCAGACCTCCAGCCTCCAGAACTGTGAGGAAATAAGTTTCTATTGTTTAAACCACCCAGTCTGTGGTATTTTATTACAGCAGCCCTAGGGAATGTATACAGAAGGTCTCAGGCAACATTGGAAATGAGTGAGCGCCACTGAGGAATGGCGGGTAGGCTGGCTGGGATGGAACGGAAGGGGTTTCTTGTGTGAGCAGTCAAGAAACAGCATGGCAGGGTGCCTGAGGGCCCTGAAGGCCAGGGTAAGAAATTTATCACTTTGGGAAATGAAGATTCACTCAAATCTCTTAAAGCAGCAGCTGGGATGATGGAAGGTTCGAGGAGTATGGGTAGGATGACTCTGAGTCTGAAGGTGCATGCATTGATCCAAGAATTGGTCTGGTCAGGGAGCACACCAGGGCAATTCCTGCCAACACACAAAGGACAGGTGACCCTGGAGTAAAGACAGAGCAGGAACAGGTAAGGAGTCAAGTACAAGTGATGAAGAGACAGATTCCAAAATGACTCAACTTTGGGAAACATCCCAAGAGGGTTTTCACTGATGCCAACGGACTCTTTGTTTGAGAAGCAGGAGGTGGCCATGGTGACTTTTACCTCCAACAAGGCAAGTTTCAATCACCAGCGAATTCTCCAGGGGAGGCTAAAAGCTTAAGCAATCAAAGAGAGAAGAGGTGGAGGCTAAAAATGTAAATCTGAGGTTTCCCAAAGTAGATGTCCAAAATAGCAGGACCAGAACACAGAAGGAGAGGAAGAAGAGAAACCAACAGATGAGGTAAAGCATGGCTGGAACGGGGAGTCCATTGTGAAGGCAGGCGTCATGAGGGCACTGAACAAGAATGCTAAGCAGCGAGGGAGCAGAGGGTGGAGGAAGAATGGGGCAGCTATTAATAATGTCATTCAACAGATAGTTCAGAAAAGGATTAGAGTTCTTAGAGGAAAGGCATTTGAATTTTGCCAAGATGAGATAATTAGTGACCCCCAAAATCTAGAGTCAATGAAGTGGTGAGATCAGAAGCCCAAAAATTAAGACAGAAGATAAAATGACCTATTTTAGTAGTTGAAGAGAGTTAGAAGGGGCAGAAAGGTCAAATGAAGATTTTTTTTCTTTAATGTAGAAGAGATGGGTTTTTAAGCAGTAAGAAGGGAGAGTAGCTTCAAGATTTCAGAGCAGGACACAGACAGAGAGAGCAGTGGGCTAGAGAGGGCAGGTGACAGATGGTGAGGCGTATGGAAAGTGAGAAAGAAAGCACACGTGTGAATTTGTAGATATGAAGGGTGAAATATTTCATAGCATCCCAGAAATATATACTTGACACAGTTTCTTGCACGTGCATAATAATGGCTCTTTAAATGACTTTCCTGCTTTGTCCTACCTAAGCACCTTCTATTACTGAGGGGACTCAAGATCTCAGAATTGGGAAAAAAGCAAAACTTTGAGGTCATCTACTGTAACCTCATGATCAACGCATGTGTCTCCATAACATCTCTCAAATGTGGTCATTGGGATCTCCTGGAAAATCCCCGAGGATGAAGAACCCACTATCTTACTGGGTGGTTTGTTGCATTTTCACATAATACAGGTAAGTGCCTGGGGCACTGAGCTTCATCATCCTAGAGTTTTCAAGCCCTGCCACATCTGTGGCTCAGGGAACACATTGCAAAGCCCATTTACCAGACCAAAATGGTGGAAGACAATTCCCCAGAGCATCTCTGAATGGGATAAAAGCTGGTTTTGTGATTTCGGATAGTCCCAAACTGCAGTGCCCTGGAGTTTCATCCCAGTTCAGTCATTCACCAAGAGGTGTACCTGCCTCCTTGTGCATTTCACTTAGCAGACATTTGCAGATAGCTCCCATATATCAGATACAGAGTTATGGGATTGGACAAATAAGGCCTGGAATCCTCCATTTCAGAAATCCCGAGCTACTATGAACAAGCAGGTGTTGATAGATGCTCTTGAGAAAACATTTTCACAATAAAAATGTAAATATATATATATATATATCACTTACTGCAACGTATTTAGAGGTATTAGGACAGCATTCAGCATCCTCATCTCTGATGACTATCTTCCCTGCTCCCAGCATCTCTTCCCTACTCTACAGTTTCACTCAATCTGTGTTATGTTTTTGGGACTACTCTTGGCCCAAATCACCTTCCTGGTGCTGGTTTTACTACCACCCTAGACACCCCCAAACTCCTTGAATTAAGTTCTCCTTGCTTTTTAAATAACCCCCAGTGTTTGCCTCCTCTTCCATAAATACCTTTGTCACAGCCCCAACTAGAAAAAAATCATGAACTAGCCTATCACAGGCTCACATTTCTAACTCTAAAGTCTACCTAACCTCATAGAGACCATACTGTACTGGTATACTATTTATAACTTCTATTCAAAAATGACCTCATGTTCCTTCAAAAATCTTATCTATGAATCAGAGCACTGAACCCAACACTGCTCTGTCCTAATTTTTTGTGTAATCTGAAGAATACTAATTAATCTCTCTGAGCCTCAGTTCACTGGCCTGTAAATAGAAATAATAATCCTGGCCCAACTGACCTCCAAGTACTTTGATGATGATCAGAGAAAAGCCTTGGATCTGAGATGGGACACCAATATTCTTGCCTCGACTCTACCACTAAACAGATGCATGAACTTGAGAGACACCTGCTCTCTCTTTCTCTGGGGTTCAATGTCCCCATCTGTTAAATAAGTGGGTTTGACAAGATGATCTCCAAGCTTATTTCTAACCAGGAATTTCACAAGTTTGCCAGCATAGATTGGTTACCCAAATTTTACCCAGGAATTTAACAAGGACTCTCACAAAATACTTATGAACAAAGAGGTCAGTGTGTGAGTCCATAGAGGGACCATATTCCAAGAATGCTGATAACTGGATCAACACTGCTTGGGAGCAAGACTCCAGCAGCAAACCCCTTGAGTTATTCAACGTTCTCCAAAATTAAAAATATGCTGAAAGTAATTGCTGGTACATTGCTAAAAGTTGCAGGTGGCACAGAACTGGGAGGAAAAACTATATCTAGGCCACAAGGAAATCTTGGCAGAGTGGAAACAGATCTACCAAGAACAGCATAAGGTCTTAAAAAACAAAAACAAAACCCACCACCACCAACAAAAACATTTAGAGGAAGAGAGAAAATGCAAGTAGAAGATAAATTGGGAAATTGGGATTCCAGTCTCATCTCTGTGAACTTGGGCATGTAAACCCAATTCAGGCCCACCTGGCAAAGTCCTCTCTCTCTACACGATCCTTCAACACAGATAGATGCATTCAATAAACTCACATCTACACCTTATTAGATCCCTCCAACTCTAAGAAGCTAAGGTTTGAGCATCACTAAAGGGTTCCAGGAGAATCTTTGAATTGAGAGCAGAGATTGGGATAGGATATGCTAGGACTGGGATAATATCACATAGGTACCACTAATTCCCTTCCCTATACCCATGGTAGACATCACCAATTAATCCCACATGCTTTTTTATTGACTCTAGATACAACCACCAACTTCTTTGCTCATTCTATGCTGAGCACACCACTATCAATCAGAATTGGTACCTGAGGTCTACTAGCCATCCCTGCAGCATATAATACTTGGTATCAAGGCAATTCGATTTGCAAGCAATAAGTCCTGCTTTAGGTATAAAGGAAATCTAGCAACATGGAAAGCGTTGGGGATTCTAACAGTAAAGGGACTC